TCCACCCACACCCACCCAAAATACCCACTTTTTACCCATTTCACCCACTCCCACCCAAAATACCCACTTTGGACCCATTTCACCCACACCCACACCCACCCAAAATACCTACTTTTGACCAATATAACCCACACCCACCCCACTCCACTAGAACCGACTTTTCTTTAGACCACCGGTGCTATATTTCGAAGTAGATGTTTTTTTGACCTTTGACACAAACCCACAAACAAACTATTTTATTTCATACAACCCTCTCTACAGTCGAGGGAATTATAAATTGATACAGATGATGAACAAATACATTTTAATTCATTACCATATTGATTTTTAAGTTGATCATACTTATTAAATGATGATTTATTAAATGTTTTTGTTAAATTTTTTGGTTCAATAATGAAATAAATAGCAACACATGCAAGTGAACCAATAAGTAAGAATAGATAAAGACGAGTAGCTTATATACCATAACGATTAGCTGCTATTCGATCTGTATTTCTTCCAAAATCTCTTGATGTGAATAGATTGATATTAATTAATATTTATATGAATTTGCTGAAGTTCAAATAAACATCTAAAAGCTTTCTTCATCTCTTTCACATGCTTTGTATAATACGAAAAAGTAACGTGACTGTTCACTTAGTCGGCTATAAAAAAATGATGTATTATGTGGTGATATGAAGGAAAGAACGACAGATAATAGTAGGGGATAGAGAAAAGGTGATTAGGTGCGTTTATGAGAAGTCAATATACCATGGAAATGAATTGGATCGGATATATTAATTGTTTTTCATTTGCGAACGACGATTTGTTAATATGTTTCTCATTTTTTTTCTATCAAGCCGACCAGTGCATTAATACCTTTCATTTTACTAAAAAAATATTTTAACAATAATAAATTAGTTAAAAGAAATATTGAACTTACTTATTGGCAAAATGATCTACAACTGATATTGGAATTTTTGATTCAGCACCACCGATCTAAATATAAAAAACAATAAAAATTAGATACAAATGGAAAAAAATAACTTACGCTTACTACCATTAGAAAAGTATCATTGTCAAAGGTGTAATTGATGTTGATTGGTAGCTCATTAAGACGATAATCAATAAAAAAATCACCATCACCATTTTCACGATATTCAATATTTCATTTTTCTTTAAAATAAAAACAAATTACTAAAATTAATTTTTAAGAATAATTTCTTACTTCATTTTGTTTACCTGCAATAATAAGTCCTAACTTAATTAAACAATAATGGCCAACTAGAATGAATCCAGGTCGAAAAATCCGACCCGGAACTGATCGGTTCCCACATCTTCCGATAACTTCCTGACGCAGTATTCCAGACCGGAATTCACCGGAAAATTTCCCTTGGTTTCTCATCATATCCCAATGGAAAATCGTCGTAATACTCGGAAAAAAATCCAAAACTTTCCCTATAATATCCGACACCCGGAACCCCAAAGGAAAACTAGAGGTTCCCAAACGTTTTCTAATTATTCAGTTCCGACAATTTCCGGGTTTATTCCGATACTCATTACCTCTACAAAAAAAACGATACCTCGTCACTATGCCTAAATACTTCAATTGTACACATATAATTTTAACAGAAACAGTTATACCTAGGCAGCCTAAGTATTGATGAGAATTGAAATCCCAACTATAATCCGATAAGCAATCCTCCAGTCATCCCCCGCAACAGAACTAAGCTACGTATCAAAACAACTTTTTCATTTCCAAGATTTTTGAGCGGATTATAATCGGATTAATAATCCTGCATGTAAATATGACATTGAGTGCTCTCCCAGAAGGAGCATTTTTCCCGAGGATTTCTGAGCGGATTATAATCCGCTAAAAATCCTGAAGCAAAATTGAAATTCTAAAACTTAATTTATTTTATTATTTTGACCTGGGCTTATTAATCGGATTATAATCCGCTCAAAAATCCTGAAACAAAGTAAGAAGTCTAAACTTGGTTTATTTTTTACTAGTGTTGAAGATTCGTAGTGGGATTATAAGCAGCTGAAAAGTGTTGATTGAGAAAGACAAAATAAATCGCGTTTTAGAATGGTCATTGTGTTTTGAGCCGACGATACTCTGATCGTTAATCGAATCGAAATTAAAAATAAAGCATATTTTGAAAATGTTCATATTTGTGGAAGATTTTTTTGGCGGATCTGAATCCATTTGAAAGGGTACGTGAAAATAATGAAGTAGGGATGTTTTGAAATGGCGGTTTTCTTCTGGACGGTTTCAGCGGATTTCAATCCGGTGAAAAGTTGTGAAGAAATATGACGGTCGTTATATATAGCGCCCATTTGGGACTTATTGTTTGCACTTTTAAATGATGATCAGGGCGGTGTTGGTTTAGCGTGAAGATCTTAGTCTGTCGAGTAGTATTTTGAGATGGTTTTCGTGGGTTTGTTGTATTTATTTGTTCGTTTTTGTCGGGATGTTTGGGGATATGGCTGGATCCGTCGGGTTATGATGGGAAATCGAGGGAATTTATAGGATCGGACTTTTCTGTTTTTTGACGGTTCCGGTCACAGGAACTGGTCGTTTTTTATCGGATTTGCGCGAAAAATAAAGGAAGATTAAGGAAAAAACGGATCGCCGGATTCGTGTGAATTATTTTAGGGGTTTCCTTTCGTTTCCAATTGGATACGTTGTCGGAAATAGTGTAGTGTATTGGATATTTTGTTTTATATGGACGGTTATTTACGGATATTATAGGAAACTGTTCAACGGATCGTGTAAGAATTTTCCCATATCCGACCCGGGACATTCCGGTCTGGAATACCGCGTCAGGTTGCCGTTGGTTTTCCTTTTCATTCCGTTTGGAACTGACCGGAACCGTTCGGAAAGGCATCGGAAAAAGTATGCTTTCCGTTCGGATCCGGAGGCCGGAACGTCCGTCCTGTGAACATATCAGCATTTTTAATAATATCTTTATCAAGATATATGAGCGAATTGATAAATTAGTTTGCTTTCATTTTAAATAAAAAAATATAAAATGATCTAAATAAATGTAAACACATATATACATATGTATATATACTGGAGAGAAAAGAAGAATACAAAATTTCATCTAACTAAGCAAGATAGATATATTAAATAACTTTTTTTATAGCTGCTATTTTGAAGTATTGCTCTATAGCATATTTTTTTACTAATTTTTCATCAATTGCACCTTATCATGTCTGACTATTTTCATATAAATATTTATATAGATTTAGTTTCTATTAGTTGAATAGAAAAAGCAATTATCTGTATTTGAATAGTTGAATTTTATTTGCATAAAGTACATCAAAAGCAGATTATTTCTGTATGAGGAAAATAATCTTTAACATATTGAGAAATTTCATCGACAACTAAACATATAGATTTTAATTTTCTACAATTGATTTGTGTTATATTTCTTGTAAAATTGTTTGTCACTCTTTTTAATTGTTCCCCGGGATGATGGTTCCTGACGCAGGATTCCATGAATTTCCGGCAAAATCCCTGAAGAAACTCGCCATTTCCGGACTGAACCCGCCCGTAAAATGCCAGGAATCCACTGGAGAAATGAGGTCACTGTATCCGGCTGCCGGTTTGGACATATTTCTGTCGGTTCCGGCCCAAACCAGATAAATTCGGTCACCGGATCCATTCAACGGGAATACTGCTTCCCTGAAATCTCCGGATTACCATGAAACCGGCCGTTCCCGTACTGGATTGTTCAACCTGGGTATATTTTATAAATCTTGTGACTATTATTTTATTTTATTTTATTTTGTAGATTAAAATGAAAAATTATCCATTTCTATCGTGGATTTTATCTCTGCATAAAGATAAAATAAAAAATCGAGATCAATTAATCATTGTAGCACACTATTGTTTTATTCGGCATGGTTTTATTATCGATAACGGAAATGAAGTAAGAATTTATTTTTATTTTACAGGGTGATGATGAAGCATTAATACTGAAACGAAACGAAAATGAAGAAAAAAATTCTTCGTTTACTCTTAAATATATTTTTAATCAAGAAAAAATTTCTATTGAATATCTATTTGAAAACAACACATTTCTTATTTTATTTCCAGTGAGTTATTTTTTATAACTATCTATTTTTATTGTTTCTTTGAATTTAGATCAGTGGTAAAGAATCAAAAATTCCAATACCAGTTGAAGCTTATTTTGTTAATAAGTAAGTTCAGTATTTCTTTTACTAATTCTTTATCTTGAAAATATTTTTTTTAGTCGATTAATGAATGTTGACGATTTATTAGAAAAAATACAAAAACGGACAAAAGAAATTATAAAATATCGTAAATCACAAAAAAAAATAACTAAGCAGTGTGTTATGCCCTGGATGCTATTGTTAGTATATACGGTTTATTTTCGTTCGTTCTACTTTATGTTTGTTATCTGTTGTTCATATACATCTTCTCTACTCATTCTCTCTATCGATAGCATTTTTCCTATCTTTTATATATGACATTAGTTCTGTATCTTCGTTATCATTATATTTCATGTGATTTTCCTTTTGTATTCCTATGGTTTTTTCTCTTTCGTCAACCTATATGTAGACGTTCATTTTCAAGTAAAAAGTTGGAAGCAAAAATGTGAAATCACAACATGAACTAGAGAATACTGACGTTGAAACTTTAAATAGTTTATCATTAAAGGCTATTCAATCATGTATTAAACATACTCAGAAAACATATCAACAGCTTGTACCATATCATATTAGATTTTTATTTGTATTATAAACATCTATATTTCTATTATTCATGTACATCTAAGAACATTTCTTTTGATCATAAACTCTATATTTTGGATGAAAATATAAAGTACAGGATGCACTTTGTCTGTGGTAGTTTCCAACAGTTTATGTTATGAAATTATCATTCCAAAAGCTTAACCTTAATAATGAATCAAGCGTAAGACAGGTACATATTTCATCTAATATCATACTAAATAACTTTTATGGATGCTATTTTGAAGTATTGCTCTATAGCATATTTTTTTACTAATTTTTCATCACTTGTACTTTGAGTCTGACTATTTTCATATGAATATTTATATAGATTTAGTTCCTTTGAGTTGAATAGAAAAAATAATTATCTGTATTTGAATAGTTTAATTTTGTAAACGAATTTTATTTATATAAAGTACATTATAAGCAGATTATTTCTGTATGAGGAAAATAATCTTTGACATGTTGAGAAATTTCATCACCATATAAACACATAGATTTTAATTTTCTACAATTGATTTGTGTTATATTTCTTGTAAAATTGTTTGTCACTCTTTTTAATTGTTCATAACCGATGTCAAGATGAACATTATTGGGTAAACATACTTTTCTATTGTCTAAAAATTGTTCAACATAATCATCATGAACTGTATTAAGTGTAAGATTAGTAAGATGAGAATATTTCACAATTGACCAATGCTGATTATCATCATTTGATTCTGTACATAATTTGTTATTTTGTGGTTGAAAATTGCGCATAGAAATTTTCTCTACAAATGGAAATGATTTCTCAATTCGAAGAAAAAATTCGTGTTCAAATGGATTTTTATCCGATAATGATATTCGACGAACATATGTGAATAATTCACCTGAAAAATTATTTGTTATATCATTGTAAAATTTCAATTTATATGGATATGAATAAATTCGACACCGGCTACCTCGTGTTTCACAGTAATCTACAGAACAAATAATTTGATTATATTTAAAATTATTAAATGTATTTTGTATGTATTCAAGTGGTTGTAAATCAATTTGATTACAATCAAGCAAAATTGAGTAAATATTAAATGTAAACTTTTCTAATCGTGTCATATGATTGATAAGATTTTTCTTTAAATCATTTCCATCAATAAATTTTTCTTTTACGTGAAGAAGAAGATTTAAATCAAGGTTCTCCAAGTTTGACATTCGACATACAAGTGGTAAAATAAATTCATTATAAACATTTGTAAACTCATCACAGTGTAACGAAAAGCATTTTAAATTCAATAATTTTTCCTATAAAACGAAAATATAATGATGTATTTCGAATAATATTAAATAAAAATGAAAATAATTTACCTCTTTAGCAACTTTTTTATCTGCAGCGTATATAGAAGAAATATTAACATGAAAAATACGAAGTTGATTAAAACGTCCATCGAGTATATAAAGACAGTCGGTAAAATTAGACAAAGAGACATGTAGTTCTAATAGATTTGAAGATATACAAATTGGAGATGAATTAGAAAATGATAAATGTCTATACAAAGTTGAAGATGGACCAAAATTCAAATATTGTAAATTAGGATATTGAATAAAGATCTGTGTAAATACAAACGTCTTTGGATGTTCCATTGATCTTTCATTTATAATTTCAGTTATATTAATAATCAGAAATGAGATTTGATTTTTATTTATATGCATTAATGAGGATTGATCTAAATCAAAAAATATAGAAAATCAATTAATAAAACTATTCATTTAAATTTATTTTGATAATTTAACCGAAATATTTATTCTTTTTTCTTAAATACTTCCTCTTTTTTTATTAACTGATGGTAGCACCCTACCTTCTCATTTCAATTAGTGTTCATTTTCACATTACCATTTCGCATGCTCTTTTCAATAAGCTTTTTCTCTTACAGGCCCCTGTGTTTTTGAATTACTGATCATGAAAGTATGCTCAACTCTGGCCAACCATCAGATAGATTAAATCGATTTCCTAGAATCTCGTATGTTCAATTCTAAAAATTGCAGATATTTATCTTCTTTCATTATTGAGTTATTGAGAAAACAGTTATACAAACGAATTCTTTGAATACAATACTCACTATAATACTCTAATAATAAAGAATTCAATGTCACTCAAAGGTAAAAATTTTTCGAACAAAAAGTGGCTTTTGACCTATAGTAGTGGCGTAACCAGGAATTTAAGGGTGATGGGGCTCAGCCCCAAAACCAGGAATGACAACTCAGTTCGAAAAATGACGAACTCAATTTAACTCAATTCCATTCATTAACCTAGTTGAATTGAATTGAGTACAACTTTTTACTATGACTGAATTGAATTGAACTGAGTTGAATTCTAGAAAATTTTTAGTGAACGCGAATTGCGTTGAATTGAATTCAAAAGTTTTTTTCACGAATTGAATTGAATTAATTCACTTTTTTCTGCTAAGTTGCCCAGCTCTGCCCAAAACTGTCTAGTCTTTTGGATTTTTTGATTGTCAAGTTTAGTAACTAAAAAAGCTTATCAGCGCAGCCCCGTTGGGGCTAAAAATGTGGAGCTCACGTATGTTCGCATCAAAATATCTGATCATGTTTAAGCCCTTTGTCTTCTTTTTTTGCTCAAATTTAGTTAATTTATAGCTATTTTTAACAATTTTTGGTTATTTCTATTAAATTTGCGGCAGTATATTGCTATTTTTAGCGATTTGTCATTATTTTCATAAAAATTTCCGCAATTTATAGCCATTTTCGTTATTTTTTTTTATTAAATTTGTAGTAATTTATGGCTATTTTTAACTATTTTTGCTTATTTTTATTAAAATTCTACTAATTTATAGCTGTATTTAACCATTTTACTTATATTTTATAGAAAATCCCGCAACTTACAGCTATTTTTAACGTTTTTTCAGTATTTTTATTAAAATTTTAGCAATTTATAGCTATTTTTAATGATTTTTGCGTATTTTTATTGAATTTGGGGAGGGGGGGGGGGAGGGGAGGGGAGCTGGGAAGCTTGAACTTAAAACTTACACTCACGATTTTCTTCGAAAATTTACGTGAGTTCCACAAAATCCGGGTGATGGGGCTTAAACACTCGGTGATGGGGCTAAGCCCCATCTGGCCCCCCCCTGGTTACGCCACTAACCTATAGATAAACGCAGTCGAATAGAACTGTAGAAATCAGAAAAATTTCCAAATTATTTTGTAAACTCGAACGAAGATTTTTTGCCAATTTTCAATTACTCGAGGGAAGACATTCTCATCACACTAACATTAACATGAACGAAACGATATACTGTGGGAAGTTTTATTGAACTTCCTCTTTCGTACAAGAACCAAACATTTAAAGGACAGACATTTTTTCATATTAGATTAATGAAGTTGAATTATCATCTTACCTCCGAATAGAGATAAAGCTGTTTCTGTGTCAAGATTAAATAAGCCAAGTCCATATAAATTCGGATAATTTGTAGCAAGTAATATACGTTCAATAGATGACGATTCAAGATCAAGTCGTTGAATTTGATTACGAATTTCAGGTAAAATTTCCGAACATAAACGATCAAGAGTTGTATCAGGTAATGGACCAATAGAATCATTCGGAGAATGTCTCATTAGTTTTAAATGACATGTAAATATTGGATCACGTACAATTGTATTAAGTCGTCGATTAACACTTATTAACGAACATAATAATGAAACGTTATTCAATTTTTTGAAAATCATCAACAAAATTTCATCTGGTAAATCATTTAATTCAACCAATAAATGTTCCATAGTTAGATGACCTCAATATATGAATTTTTTTCAACTTCTTAATGTGAACGTTTAAATAGATGTGATTATTTTATTTATTTGATCGATGATATCAATGATTATCAACAAGGACAATGAACTATTTTTCTATGAACACGATTGACGACGATTGAATAGATAAACGATGGCATTGTTTTTTCTTTTTCTTATATACGTATGAAATATTGACAAAACTTCAGTGATTATATGATTGAAATTCACTTTACATAGATGCGCATAAGATCTAGTTAAAATCTATCAGAGTGAAGTCATTTGCTTTGTAGATATTTGACAAAAAACTAATTTTTATTAAATCAGATTTCGGAAAAAGATTATTTTACGTTCATAATCAAAAAGACTCGAGTTCTGAATAGATTTTATTTAATTAATATAATTAAAAGAAAATGAAATTTATGATTTAATAGTTTTAATATTCAATGGATAAAAATGGCACGGTATTGAAGTTTTGTTTAGTTGTCTATTGAAATATACCGCTTTTGAGTTGAATCTCATTATAAATAATAATTGTATTAGATTATAAAGTGTAGAGTATATTTTTACTTCAAAGCAATGGTATGAATGAGTTGAGATAATAAATAATTTTATTATTTGAATAAGAATGAATACATGTATAGTTTTAAAGTATAGATTTTGTTAATTTGCGTGATTGCAGGGAAGTTTAAGTTTATTAAATATGTAGATTAATATAACGAAAAAACAAAAAAGAAATTTTGTTAGTAATAGCAAAACATAGGATTTTTTAGAAAAATAACAATATTATAAAACTCAATGATTAAATAACATAATAAACGATATGATAATCAAAATTTGAAGCTTCTCGACATCATGTACGAGCTTTGGCAGACAAATTTATCATTAAAGAACAATATCGTTATATATTATTCATTACAATTGAGCAAAAGAAAGCCCTGGTCTATATTTAGCCAGGGGAACTTTAACCTCAGCATCCTTCTTGTGCAGCCGAATCACCGGATGATTTTGTCACTGATAATGTCGTTAAATTCTAAAGTATATTTATATTTATATATTAAATTAATATAAAAAAATCTATTTACTTCTGCACATGTTGGATGAATTCCAATAGTCATATCGAAATCATTTTTTGTTGCACCAAGTCTCATGCCAAGAGCATAACCTTGAGTTATTTCACCTGCATTTGGAGATAATACATGAAAACCAATAACACGATCCTTTTAAAATTGAATTAAATCATAAATTTTTTTCAAGAAAATAAAAATTTACTGTATTTTTATCGACAATTAATTTACAATATGACATTGTCTTAACTTGATCACGATGATGACATATTGACCATTCTAATGGAACAAATTCACTATGAAATATCTAATTAAACAAAATATGAAATAAATAAATAAATATATAAATAAATATTCATTTATTTTAATTTACTTCAATATTGTCTTCACCAAACTTTGAAAGTGCATCTTCTTCACTATAACCAATAGCACCATATTCTATTGGAGTAAAAACTGTTGTTGGTACATTATAATAATCCATCTATACAAATATATATATATATATATTATTGAAAAAAAAACACTTCATATCTAACTTTTATTGTACTATTAGAAAACATTCGTTTAGCTAATAATTGACCTGCTTGAATAGCAACAGGTGTTAATTCTAAAGGTTGTCCAGGTGGCATCGTTTGTTCATCAATACAATCTCCAATAGCATATAACCATGGAATATCAATAGATTGTTCTTCTTTTGTTTTTATTTTAAAACCATTAGCTTTATTTACTTCAATACCAATTTTATCCAAATTTAATTCATTTGTACATGCTTCACGTCCAATAGCAAATAAAACAGTATTACAATCTTCATAAGATTCTTCAATTTCACCTGATTCAAGTGTTTGACGATAATGAAGACGTAGTTTTCCTGGTTTTCCTTCTTCTAAACATTCTAAACGTGTTGGAATTCTTTGATAATGAAATTTCATTCCAATCGTTGACATATAATCTCCTATTTTCGATGCCATTTGTTGATCAAATCCTCGAAGAAGTATTGAACGAACAAATATTTGAACTTCTCGACCAATGCCATGTAAAAAACCTGCACATTCAAGTGCAACATATGATGCACCAACAACAATTGTCTTTCCAGGATCATATTTAAGAGAAAATAAATCATCACTAAAATCGATTTCATTTTTATAATATTAAAATTTGAAAAAAATCATTTCAACCTTGTTATTCCATATTGTTGATCACCTTCAATATCAGGATATTTTGGTCTTCCACCAACAGCAACAACAATTTTTTCACCAGTTATTTCTTTTGTTTTACCTTTTTTGTCTGTTAACTAAAAAAAATCGAAGAATTTTTCAATAAAAAACATATTTTATTAAAAATAAAAATCTAACTTTTAATCGATGTGGTGAAAGAAATTCTCCATAAGAATTTTCATAGGTAACACCTTTCGAACGAAGATCAACTCGATATTTAAAATTAAGTGAACGAATATACTGTTGAATAGATTCAATCATTTTTGACCAACTATGTTGACGAGCTAAAAAAAGAAATAACATTTTATTTAAAAAAAAAAGAAACTCATAAATATTGTAACCTTGATCAAGTTGTGACCATCCATAATCAACGGAATCATGAACATATTCACCAATTAATGATGCTTGATGCATTAATTTTTTTGGAATACACTTTATTTAAAAAAGAAATATTTATTTATCAAAAATAGGAAAAGTAAAACTTACACCAACATTAACACAAGTTCCACCAAGTCCTAAAATCCAAAAATAGAATAAATATAAATTTATTTTATTGAGATAAAATTAACCCCAAGTTGTTCCAATTGGTGTTGGTTTAACAAAATCAAGTACACAAACTTTTTTCTCAAATGATCGAGCTTCCTAAAAAAAAAACAAATTTGTCTTTTAAAATGATTTTGATTTTATTAAATATACTTTTGAACAAGCAAGTCCACCAGAACCTCCTCCAATAACGATTAAATCGTAATCATATGAATCTAAATCATCGTTCTCAACTTTTTTATGTTTTTTCTCAGATTCAGGTGGATTAAGAAGAGTAGCAACACGTCCTGATTTCAATGCTTCAAGAGTTTTATCACATCCACCTTAATTTGAAAAGAACAAAAAAATAATTTTGTTTTTCAAAAAAAATAAAACAAACCAATATGTTGTTGTTTGATAAATATATTTGGAACTGTATCTTGTTCTGTTTTATTGATTAATGCATTTTGAATTTGATCACCTTCAGCTAAATAATATATAAATATATAAATTAATAATTTAAATAAAGATAAATCTCTACCCATTTTATCCAATTCAATTGAATAAAATTCAATCTTAGCTGACCTTAATGCATCTTTAACCTAAGAATAAATAAATAAATTAAATAATGAATTAAATATAAAAAATACAATAAGAACCTTTGTGCAATATGGACACCACGATTTTGAAAATATCATAACGTCATTTTCAACAATATACTTCTCTACAAGATTAGCATTTGCTTTTTCATCGGCATCTTTTGAATCTAAATCATCGTTGTCAACTTTTTTATGTTTTCTCTCAGATTCAGGAGGATTGAGAAGAGTAGCAACACGTCCTGATTTCAATGCTTCAAGTGTTTTATCACATCCACCTTAATTTTAAAAGAAGAAAAAATAAGTTTGTTTTTCAAAAAAATATAACAAACCAATGTGTTGTTGTTTGATAAATATGTTTGGAACTGTTTCTTGTTTTGTTTTCTTAAATAATTCTTTTTGAATTTGATCACCTTCATCTAAATAATATATTTATAAATTAATAATTTAAATAAAAATAAATTTATACCCATTTTGTCTAATTCAATTGAATGAAATTCAATCTTAGCTGATTTTAATGCATCTTTGATCTAAGATGAAAATAAATAAATCAAATAATGAATTAAATATAAAATAATAACCTTTTTACAATATGGGCACCACGATTTTGAAAATATCATCACATCATTTTCGTCGATATATTTTTCAACAAGATTAGCAATTGATTTTTCATCGGCATCTTTCGTTGGTGGCATTATTTTTTCTTCTAAAATAAAGAACTTTTTTCTCTTAGTTTTATTATATTAAAAAATAAATTTAAATATGAAGTCGTGTCAGAAGCAGATTTTTACCGGAATAAAATGTATTATTTATTAATTACATGACAGTAAAATAAGTTTAATGACGTATAATATTTATATATATATATATATATAAGTAGAGAAAAGAATAGATTCGTATCACGTTTTTTGCATCGTCATTATTCTTATGCAAAAAAAGGTTGAACAGTGATGATGTAAACTTCATGATAAGAAACCAACCTTGTATAATCAAGGTGACCTCTATAAAAAAACGAAATACCTCATTCAAGAGGTTTTTTATTCAACCAATTAAATTATTTTATATTAAAAAAAATATTAACCTAAACTATGTAACTTTCGTATTTGATTTAATATTTTATTGAGGAGAACGATAAGGAATCATATTGAATTAAGTCTAACGAATAATTCTATATTTAATCTCTCAATAAAAGTATGATAAAAAAATACAATTTACGAAATTAAACTCGATTTTTAAATGATACAATGTATATATACATATCTAATTTTATAAAAAAATAAACATGAAAGAAATAATTTTCTACTAGACATGATTTAAAATGTTTTTGACGAGATTTTATTTATAAAACGACTGAAATATAATTATTATTAGAAAGAAAAAGTACTGGAAATAAAATGACAGAAGATCATCTACAGTACATGTCATTTTCTTCATCGTAAACAATCTTCTATTCTAAATGATAAGCAAATTCTACTAACAATTTAGAATTATCTAGAATTTAATTAACTGATTATACTTTAAGGTAAAAAATGTGACTGTCATGTTCTTTTCAAATTAAACGAAATCAGTGAAGTTAAAGATATAGATGATATTTATCAAAGTATTTATATGATAAAATACACTTCTTCTTGGTGGATTTAATGAAATAGATTTCTGCATAGATTTTTGTTATGTATTATGTTAAGAGAAAAAATGATTTAGTAGAATTGTAAAACCTTATTTTTACATGTTTTTCTTCTAAAGTTACATATAATAAATATTGTATTTAGAAAACTGATACTTTTATTTGCTTTTGTTTTTCTTATTAACTTTCTGATAAGAATAGATCTTCTCAAAAATAATTAAAATCTAAAGGAATTCTGCTACCTACCAAATAAATTAATTATAATACTCTTTTACTCTGATTGCACTATTTATATGACTTTGTTGCTACTTATCGTATAAGACTTCTTAGTTGAAACATTAAGAAAGAAAATTAAATTTTAAAAGCAAAAGCAAAAATATTTAGTTCTTGTCACAAACAGAAAAATTCTGTTACCGACAGAGATAAAATAAATACTGTCATTTAAAGTATTGTACTTGGATTGAAGTACGAAATAAAATGAAAATAAATTGTATGAATAAATTTTATAACATTTGTTTCAGCATTATGATTAATTAAAGCTTTTCAATGACAAAAACGAGCATTGTGTAATATTTCAGGTAGAACTACAAATACGTTTGACGTAACTCTGATCGTGTTTTTCGACAAGAAATATATTTGTGATGGTTTACAGTTCTAAGAACTAGCTCGTTAATTGTAATCAATCAGTTTAGTAGCGAATTTTTTCATACGAGTTAGACTTACTTTCTTCAAAATGACTATGGGTAGAGAAAATTAAGTACATACTTTGATTAAAAACTCTTATATTTCGTCTATAGTATTAGTTTAGTTATGAAATGTGTATAATATAGCCAGTTCATTGGAAAATACTTGAAATGAGGGATCAATGAAAAGATCACATATTTTTGCCATTAAGAATATTCGTTACTCATGCTATAACAAATTGGAAATCATTAATTTGAGATTAAAATAGCGATTATTATTAAATTCTATTTCTTATACAAAATATATTGAATGTTGACTTCGTCTCAAACAGTTATTTTATTACAAATATTACTGTCTCTTATGAACAACAAAAAAAGATTATAGCTTTTTGTCTTTATTTCATAATGAATAGTTGTATATGCTATGTAATCTACATACTCGATGTAGCTGTATTCAAAGAAAATGAATTGTAAATATTGTCAGCTAGACTATAAGTATAATTATGCGATACTTGTTGTATTGAAACTACATTCATTTTATATAAAACTCGATTATTTTTTAAACATCTTTGAAAAAATATTACTAAATTTTCAAACATTCCAAAGTAATGTCTAGTGAAATCGAATGAAAACTCTCTTTTATAAACAATCAACTATTTCTATTGATACAGTACTCAATGATCCTTCGCAGTTATATTACGATATATCCTGAAAACATCATTTATGGTGAAACTAATTTAAATATGATTTGTTCATTTGGTGGTCATTCCGAAACATGATATGGTTGTCGATACGATTTTCTCCAATGTGATGGTTTGAATTAGCTAACACTTCCAACTACAACATCAAATCAATGATGTACGAAAGCTATGCAAGTATCGCGATTAACTTTATTCAATCGACATAAGAATCAATGTTCGTCTGTTGCATATAGTAGTGATGCTTTAGTCTTTGTAATGTATGTGAACTATTGAACGCTACAATAAAAATATTGTAAATGTGCCATGTCTTTAATATCATAACTATTTATTATTCTATTGTAGATTTTACAAATCATCTACATCTATACCAATTATGGTGTCTGCTCATAACAAAATCTATAAGATCTAATTTTCATTAGATTATACCAACTGGAATTATTTCATAAATAATCTGTTCTCTCAACTATACTGGCCATTTCACATTCACTCCTTATTTTTTCAATCTTTGCACATCATTCCTACACAATTCTCGTTGTACACCTCAACGTGGGTGGATGTGGGATGCGTGTTGGTGTGAATATTATATTTATTTCACACCCTCGATTATTGAAACTATTTGAAAATTTATTGAAAAAAGTACAAATATGTCATATGCACACAAAGATTATTCTCAATATCTCCATGAATAGTACATTTTCTCTTTTGCTTCTGGTTTATAAAGATAAGCAACTTCATAATCTAAATATTGAAACAGCTAACATTAAATATTTGTAATAAACTCTCTCAATCCCGAATGTCATCTCCTGAATGACGCACAGAACGTAAACGACATATTTTGCGTTCTGTAGCCTATTTAGACGACCTACATCGTATAATTTTTTTCAAACTAAATTTGTTCGTCACACGTGACTTTTTCAAAACAACTAGTTCATGTCTTTCTTTATATTTAAAAATAATAACGCTACACTTTAAATACAGTTAATTATAAATGTAGGACGCGAGAGAAAGAGAGATATTCAACTATTTTTCTTCTTGTTCGTACAGAACGCAAGAAAATGTTGAGATTGAAAGAGTTTAAAAATTTTATGAGAATAAAAATATAAAGTGGTGATTGCATCATTTTCAACTGCAACGATGACTCATGAATGACTAAGTTGTCGAGTTGGCCTATTGAGTAAATATATATAAATAATGGTTTTTTTCGTTCTTTTCTCTTATGCTTTTGAATACCTGAATAGAAAAAACTGCTTTCTTTTCTGTCTTTTTCTTGAGTCAAGTAATATCTATCGTGACTTGGTATTGGCGTAGTTTTATATTTACTGACAGAAAAATAACAGTGATACAGTGAATGACATAAAATTATTATATAAGAAAAACAACAATGACTGGGGAAACTAAAATGATAATTATAACATCAAATGAAGATATAATTCGTCAATTTTCATTAAATAAACCGAAACATACTCATATTGTTGATTTGGATAATAATAAACAAGTTACATCGATG